AACGCAGTGGGGAAGCTGGAGGGAAACCCAGTGGAAAAGATGGCAAATGGTGGTGTGTGATACCTCACAGCATGGCCTGACAATGAATTTGCCAGTCCCAATTGTGATTGTACATTGAGGATTGCCTGCATCTGGTACCCAAAAATTGTAATGTCACACATCTGCAGCATGCTAACCTGGGTCAGTTTTGTCAGTCACTGCATTCACGCACAAAGACAGGGACAAACACCTGTTTACTTCTTTAGAGAACGGTAGGCAGTCTTCAATTTAACTGCAGTTCATTTAGCGACCGTTGAAACAAGGAACACGTCTGTTTTTGACGCTTCCAACTGTTACGGCCTCCCCATGGTCACGCAATCCAAATTCAGCCACTGGGCGATTCTTATTTATGACAGCTGGAGTGTCCCAGGGTCGCCTGATCCCCTTTTGTAACCTTCTGACAAGCATCGTCAATGGGGAAATCAGATTCCGTTTACAACCATATTACTGATTTTAATAATGGCAGTGATTCACTTAAGAAACGTGGCAGGAAAAGTCATCCAATGGGACAAAACTCACTTAACAACCATCTCACTTAGCAACAGAGGCGTTGGGCTCAATTCGAGGTCTATTTCTGCTCCAGCTAGTGTGAAACACACTCAGAATTCCTGCACAAGAGAAGTGACCAGCAAGCTGCTCCCTTGGTGATGGTACGGAAGGGGGTGTGGTGTGTGTGTGTGTGTGTGTGAGTCTGGCCTCCAATTCCAGTGGCCTCCAATTCCAATGGCCTCCAATTCCAGTTGCCCCCACTCCCTACTCGGTTTCAGGGAGGCCGCTTGAGTCAAAAGATAATTTATTCACGGGACTGTACAAGGGGAGGGGAGGCTGAGGATGGGGGCTCCACCCTCAGAAGTTGGGCCGGTGCTTCTTCACCTCAACCATCAGGTGGTGGATGTTGATCAGCTCTGAGCGGATGGGCAGCGACTTGAGGGGGGGCAGTGCGAGGACCTTGTGGAAGCGGTGGTAGTACTGGATCAGCTGCGTCAGCGCCCCCTGCAGGCGAAGAGGGGGAAGTGAGGAGGAGCTTGGGCCTGCCTCTTCCCGGACCCCACCCCTTCCTGGGCCCCACCTCCCCCCCAGGGCCCCCACCTCCTTCACCTGGATGATGGTGGTCCCGTTCTTGAAGTTGGTGAAGGAGCGCATCACGTCCTGGCTGAGAGTCTCCACTGAGGCCTTCCAGGTGGCGGCAAAGCCGCGCACCAGCTGCGTCACCCGGGCTGCGGGATCAAGGAGGGAGGGAGAGTGAGTGTTAGGAATAACAAGGTTACCCAACGTAGTTTGGGTAAAATAATATATATAAACTATGATAGTAAGTTTAAGTGTGTGTCACTTTAAACTGCAAAGTATGTAATTTGGGGTGCGGTTGTGAAACCGCCATAAGAGGGAGCAAGAGAACCTGCTG